GAAAGAGCAAGGGGCCGCATCCTCCGCTGGCACAGAGCAGAGCAGCATCACCGGGGAATGCTACAGGCCCGGAGGAAGAGCTGAAGCAGGCTTTACAGAGACATGCTGTGCTCTGGAGCCCAGCCAGAGACACGGGGGCTGAAAATATAAAAATATAATGAATAAACCTCTAACAACCCCCCCTCCAGTCCCTGCCTTCTCCCTCTGCCGGGTGCTCTGCTCCTTGCTCAGCCTCCCGCTGCTGCTGTGGGGTTATTTTGGTCTGGCAATCTGATCCGCACCAAGTTTATTTTAGCACCTTGGAGAACTCCCAGGCTGATGGATTCCTGCTCCCGCCACAGATCCCTTTTCATCCTGGGCCCAGCTTGTGTCTCCCACTCCTCTCCAGCCCTTCCCCCAGCTGCACATGACCCTGCACCCCTCTGCCACGACAACACGCTCCCCTGGATGGGGGGGTCCGCTGTCTGCCTGCTGCAAGTCCCTGGCTGCTGCACATCGGATCAGCTGCCTGCAACAACACGGGACAGCAAAATCCTCCCTCCCCATGACTCACGGACACCCAGAACCCCAGCTGGCATCGCCAAGAGGCTTAACAGGAAACCCCAGCATCTTCCTGCTAGCAACCACCCCACGGCGCTCTGGACATCAACTCCCAGCCCCACGGAGAGGCTAATTTCAGCTTCGGGATTCAAGCTGATCAGCAGAGAAAGCTGCATGGAGTACCGGGAAGGAGGGCACAGCACATCACCCTGCTGCCAGATGGAAATCATGGCAGAGTGGAGCCTGGGTGCGTTAGGATGCGATTCGGGGACACCTGTGCACCGAAGGGGGAGGAACGCAAAAGCAGCCAAGGCTCGAACCGATGGGATCGACCAGTATTCCTGCCACTTGTTTCCACCGGGCCTTTGAGCCCCGGCTTCGTCTCCGAGACCTTCGCACACCGTAGCTCCGGGTGTCACGTTCCCTCTGCTCAAGTGCGGCCGTCGCCGCGGTGCAAGGCGCCAATTGTTTAACGGGACACAAGAACGCCCCGCCACCCGGCCGGGTGAGAAGTGAAGGAGCAGCCAGCTCCTCGATGATTTGAATTACGCTCAGGATGTAATGCCCCAAATTAGATATTGACCAAGAGAACAAGGTCAAACGGGCTGGAGCGTGGTGCGAGCTAGGAAAAAATTCAACTCTATTTCATCAGAGCATGTAGCTGTGTCAAAATCTAATCGCTCGGGAAAGCCAGGCTGATTTTATTGGCGCTTGGCTTGAGGAGAGAACTCGGGGAGGGGAAGATTAAAAAGTCTGACAAGGTCACAGAGTCAGGCTCTGGCCTTTGCAGAACGGGATTTCATTTCAAGAAGCCTTTTGGTCTCAATTTTAAAGACTTTGTCTGACACTGGTAATGACACGGCCACCCAAGAGAGTCTGCGCTGAAAGGAGGTATTTGGATTGACCCAAAATACGTTTAAATGTGGCCTTAATGGGGGTCTTTAGATATTTTCCCTTTTCAGTCCCGTTCTGAACAAAGCCAGGTGTCAAAATCTCAATGTCTGTTGCAAAATGGAGATCCCCTCCCTCTGCCTCGCTGATTCTGGGGGAACGTGCTGGGGGGATTTTCCGTTACCTGTTTTGAGTCTCGCTTGCAGATGCCACCCCCGGTAGTGTCCTCCCCAGGAACCTTGGCACGGTGCTGAATCAGTAGGAAACTGCTTCCCAGAAGCCTCCAGAGCCTGATCTCTACCCTGCATCCCACCAGACTCGACAAGGGGCCTTGGGTACAGCGCTGCAAGACAAGGGAGCCTGTGTCTGTGCTTCTGGCTGGTAACAGGAGCTGAGAGAAGAGGCAGGAAGGAAGGAACTCGCTCCTGCTCTATCTGGGCTTGGGCTCTGCTCCTCACACCCCCGTGATTATTTCTCCTTGGGTTCATGATTACTCAGCAGCTCTCCAGCCTCTCTGCCATCCGCCTGCCTGATGCTGAGGGGTAGGAAAATCCTCCCAGTGGCTCTTAGGCCTTATCAACCCCTTCCAATGACTCCAAGTTTTTTTTCAGATTGGATTTCCCAGTGCCTCCCTGTCCCCTGGCACGTCTCTTAGACATGAGACTCAGCAGCAGAGATACTTTTCACCTATTCTGTGCGGTGTCGAGCCTCTGCGTCCAAGCCATACCACATTATACACAGCACGCGAATGAGATGCATTCACTGATACAGAGACTTTATGCTGGGGTGAGGCCTGGAGCAAGGGCCTTCGCTGCTCTGTGCCTCAGTTTCCCCATCTGTAGTGGGTCTAGTGGTACAGCGATCTTTCACAAAGCACCACAAGACCCAAGGCTGAGAAGCACTGCGTGAGAGCTGGGTGTTGAGAGTGGGTGAGCAGCACCCATGCACGCACACCCTGGGCTAGCTCAGCCCCGGCAGCACTGGCTGAAAACCGGAGCGAAGGCCTTGCTCAGCCACTGGGGCTACGTGGGGGGAAAAATCTTGGCCCAAGCAGCTATTCTGTCAGGCCAGGCCAGGCCTCTAGTCTGGTACCATGTAAACCAATACAGCCTGTCCCACGGTCGGGTTATCAGCAACCAAACCGGTGCCCCCGCCTGGGCTTGCCCGCGCGAGCAGGGCGTGTGGACTACAAACCAACCCTGGCAATGGGCAGACGAGCTCCCTGCGAGCCAGCGGCTGCCCATGCCAGGCGAGGAAGATGGGCACCGCCAGTTCGCTTTGCCCAAACGATCCCCAATGGTGCAAAGCGACTCAACGAACGGCGTCAGAGCGGAGGAGGGTTGTTGCAGCGACCCCAAGGGTCGTAGCGGCCTTGGGACAAACCTAGGCGAGCGGCGGGAGCACCAGCAACGCTGGCAGTAAAGCGAGGGGGGAAGCCGAATCGGCAACCTTCCCTCAACCCACCGCTGCCTCGACAGCCACTTCCCGCCGCAGCCCCTCCGCCGGGCCCGCTCAGGCCAGGGCTGACGGCAGAAGCAGCCGCGACCCCCCTGCCCCAGAGGGAAACACGTGGACCCGAAACAGCCCTGAGGGGCTCTCGCTTTTTCCTTGTATAGGTAGAGCCATCCACCGAGCTATGGGGTTCCTTACCTTCCTCCTTGCACGCTCCCGCAGCCTGACGAAGGGTGTTGCCCCCAAAGCTCGCTAGGACGAGGTCTGCCCGGCTAATAAGGACCCAAAGAACCGCCCGCACCGCTCCGCAAGCCGCTCCCGCGTCCCGAGCGGATCCGGCCCCGCTTCAAGCCGCCGCGAGGGGCCGAAGAGCGGCGCCCAAAGGAGGCAAGTGGCATCGGCGCCGCCCGGGGGTCACGGCGCGCTGGCCGGGGACCGGGGCAGCACGAACCCGCTTCAGCGTCGAGCTTTTTCTGGCCAGAAACCCCCGCACCGACCCCCGGCGAACTACAGGGCCCAGCATGCCTCGAGGCGCGGAGGAAATGCCCGCCTGCCAGGAGGCTTCGCTCCAGCAGCTGCAGCTGCAGCTGAGCGGGGGCCCCGGCCCCGGCCCCGGCCCCGGGGCGCTGCCGC